TGACCTGTTTTTTACTTATTCATCAAAAATAAGAAATTCCATGAAATTCCACGTTACAGTAAATTACGTTTTTATGACTGGATTCCACGATACCGTCCATGTTTTCTGCATCGCGGAAATCATTGGGCCCTACTAATGTAGCAAATGAATATGATAAGCTCATTGTGAGAGTAAAAGACGGGGACATTGTTGTTTATTTACTTAGCATTGAGTCTCTCCAATTCAGTATGGTTTAAATTTATATAAAATGGAAAATAAAAACATTACCCATTATGACAATAGACTTCATTCTCATTACTGCAATGCTAAAAAAAAAAAAAAAGATATATTATTTAAATTGTAAAACTTCTATTTAACATATGCAGACTTAAATAAAAAAAATTATATTGTGCCAATTTTACGGTAAAACAGTGAGAATAAGAAATTAACAGCATAGCAACACCCTGGCAACCACCAAAAACATCATAGCAATGCAATACAAATACTCAGAACACCTTAGAAACTGCATAGCAACACCATGGCAACTCAGAACACCTTAGCAACACCCTGGCAACCACCTATAACATCGTAGAAATACAATATAAACACTCAGAACATATGAGCCCGACCGATATGGTTTTTTTGGGGGGCCGATACCGATATTAGGGAGTAAAAAAAGACCGATATCGATATATCGGCTGATATTCTTTATGTGTAATGTGTAGGCTAGTACAGTATAGTCAAAAGTTTGGACACTTCCCATTCGTGTGTCCAAACAAATAACTAATAACTAATAACCAACAGGGGCAGGTTTATGCAGGAAGCACAGCTTTTCCAAATGTAAACATCTAAAATGAATAAATAATAATAATTAACATTTAAAAAAATTTTTTCACAAATTCTGTGTTTTGTGTTTTCTGGTAATCAAATGAACATGCAGAACATGCATATTTAAATAAGTCTTTTTGCAGTTTAATATTCACAGACACAGTCTATATATATGTACTGACCTGTTTTTTACTTATTCATCAAAAATAAGAAATTCCATGAAATTCCACGTTACAGTAAATTACGTTTTTATGACTGGATTCCACGATACCGTCCATGTTTTCTGCATCGCGGAAATCATTGGGCCCTACTAATGTAGCAAATGAATATGATAAGCTCATTGTGAGAGTAAAAGACGGGGACATTGTTGTTTATTTACTTAGCATTGAGTCTCTCCAACTAGGTGACAACGTAGCATTAAATCACCATTCAACAGATTCAAACCACCACTGCACTGCCATCTATTGGACTGCAGAAAGATACTAACTATCTGCTATGTTACTGACTGTACTGACAAACTATGCTGACACCGTGTCTGCGCCGCAACAGGACGCGACAAAGCCACCGTTGAAATTCATTTGAACTTTGTGTCAGCACGTCATAAATAGAACGAGGCATCAGTTTACTGCATCCAGTGTAGACAACATCACTGATTATAATGGGTTCTATTCAGGCACGTGCACAGGTAGGGCTCAACCTGTGCAGAGCACATGCCCTTTTTGCCCTTACACTCCGAAGTGCCCTTTTTTTTGGTGATGGTGTTTTTGTTTCTTCCTTCAATAAATCAATGGTATTGGTCACCCTTTACATCTGTCTGTCTGCTTTACAAATATTTAGCTAATGAAAGGTATTAAAAAGAGCTCGTGACTAAATCTTGTTGGATCCGCTCAAACTGTCAGTAAACCTCATAACTCCACCCCCTCTATCTTGACTGAATGAACTGAAGTTCCACAGCAGCTGAACTAGGCCGGTATAAACACCAGCATTGACTGAGTGGCCGCGATCAGCTCCGGGGGCCGTAACACAGGCTTTAATGCGCCGCAGATGCGTTCCTAGATGCGCAGATCAGCTCTAGTCTCTAACGTCACTGAATCTGCTGTTAAAAATGAACCATCCATTCATCATATCATCATGCAAAACTAAGAATTTGAATCATTGTAATGTGACGATCAAATATAGGTGCGGGTGGGTGGCGGGCGGATAATTTGAAGCAGCGGACTCGGGTGAAGTTTTTGAGCTCATCCGCGCATCTCTACAATACACTGACCTAGGTCGCCAGTAGCAAACAATGGAGCGCGCTCTGCTGGACAAACTAAGTAATTACACCATTCAGAAGCATTTAATCTGCGTTATATGTTCTGCAAAAAAATTTTCATATCGGCGGCATATTCGCCGACACGATATATCTGCGACAGGCTCATATCGGCCAATAATATCGGCAAAACGATATATCGGTCGGGCTCTACATTGCAATGCAATAAAAATAGCGACCACCAATAACATCATAGCAATGCAATACAAACACTCAGAACACCTTAGAAACTGCATAGCAACACACTAGCAACCACCCTTAACTTAGCAATGCAATAAAAACACTCAGAACACCTTAGCAACAGCATAGCAACACCCTGGCGATCACCCATAACAACACAGAAATGCAATACTTACACTCAGAACACCTTAGCAACACCCTGGCAACCACCTATAACATCATAGCAATGCAATAAAAAAATACTCAGAACACCTTAGAAACTGCATAGCAACACCCTGGCAACCACCTATAACATCATAGAAATACAATACATACAAACACTCAGAACACCTTAGCAACACCCCGGCACCCACCTATAACATCATTGCAACGCAATAAAAACACTCCGAACACCTTAGTAACATCATAGCAACACCCTAGCAACCACCAATAACATCATAGCAATGCAATACAAACACTCAGAACACCTTAGAAACTGCATAGCAACACACTGGCAACCACCCTTAACTTAGCAATGCAATAAAAACACTCAGAACACCTTAGCAACACCCTGGCAACCACCCATAACAACACAGAAATGCAATACTTACACTCAGAACACCTTAGCAACACCCTGGCAACCACCCATAACAACACAGAAATGCAATACTTACACTCAGAACACCTTAGCAACACCTTGCCAACCACCTATAACATCATAGCAATGCAATAAAACACTCAGAACACCTTAGCAACACCATGGCAACCACTTACATTATTCCAGCGTTGTGGCGGTACATTTTTTTATTATTATTTTGGTAGAAAGTGCCAAACTAGTTAGGCTTTACTTCAGTAGAAAGTCTAAAATTGTATTTTCTCAACAACAAAAAAAAGGACTCCAATAATCTTTGTTTTATTTAAGACAGTGCAGAGGTGCTGACTGAAATCTGGTCATAATACAATTCCCATACAAAGCGAAAATGTCTATGTGTGCAGGAACTAAATGTGTTTGGTTTTGGCTGTTCTCCTACACTAATACAGCGACACAAACAACCAGCTATGGTCAGGATCACCCACTCATTTCACTGTTAAACATGAAGGAATTGACAGCTGAATAAGATGACAGCAAGCACAAACACAACATCACAGAAAGGACGGCTGGTTTGACTCGTCAAGCTGGTGAATGAGAAGTTTGTGAAAACAAAGGCGAAAGTCAACCAAGAGGCAGACGAAAACGCTGGCAAAGTACTGGTGAAGTCATAAATTTGCGGTGCGAGTATCTTGTTTGTCTTGAATTCCAGAGTCGTGAGCTAAAGCTCTCGTGTTTTTGTCGTGGGACGCCTAGACACTTGACCTTCACTGTAATCTCTGAATTGCTTTATTCTGTCCCCGCAAAAGTAAATAATGCACATTCATTTGTTTTACGCCTCAAGCATGCATATTTAAAGGCGAAACACAACAGGATGGATTGTTCAGTGCTCCGTCTCGGGTTTTAAGGAACATTAAGCGTCAGACTAGGCCCTCTGGCACCCAACAGCTATGACTTCATCCCTTTATCATTGATTTAATATGTTCAGAAATGTGCTAGAGATATGTACCGAGTTACATACACGCACAATCTGAGAGGAGTGCATGCCTCACGGCTGACGTCTGCATACACCTGGAGCTGTGTGGCCTTAGTCATGTTTCACTGAACCCCAACAACAGCTCATGTTATCAATGCAAAGAGACGCCAGCGAAAAGAGACCATTCACCACAAAAATAACAGACTCATTAGTCAAGAGCTCAGTGACAGCTGCAGTGCCACTGATCTGGACAGCAATGCTATATTAATAAATAATAATAATTGTTTAATTTATATACATAGAACCTTTCCATAGCTCATGGTTGCCTTATAAAAAAAATCAACCAAACATAACTGCAAAAATCATTTTAAAAATAATGTTGCCACAATACAACAACTTAAAGATGAAGTGTCATAAATTAGTGATAAATTAGTTTAATTTATATAGCACTTTTGCATAGCTCAAGGTTGCTTAACAGTAAAATAAAAAATAAAAAAAAATTCAAATTTAACCACCAAACATAATTGCAAAAATAATTACATTTTTATTTTGCGACCATAACACAACTTAAAAATGAAGTGTCAAGTACACACCAATAATAATATAATAATAGTCCCATTTATAGCATCTTTCCATAGCTCAAGGTTGCTTCATAAAATAAAATAAATAATAAAATAAATAATAAAATATTAAAATGTAACCACCAAACATACTTACAAAAATATTGTTCCACAATATCATAAAAATAAAAAAGAAATAAAATAAAACATTTAAATTTAACCACCAAACAATTGCAAATTGTTATTTATTTTTTTGCCATTGCTATAAAGTTGCTAAGGTGTTCATGCGGTTTGCAGCAGATGTAACAGCGACTGTATTCCTGCAACAGAACAGACATGGATAAAGCCAGGCTGAACTCTTTACATTTGCAGTCATGTGCTCAAACAAATGAGATCAGCCTGTATGTTGACACCAAGCGGAAGCATAAAGCCCAGAGCTGGACGGACATCAGAGGCTGTGTGGAGGTCCACTGCACATACGCAACCTCCACGTGTAGCCCTACATGTCAACGATCAGTCACGTCAGTCTCAGTAACACTCCTGCTGATTATGTCACATCTCAAATAAGGCTTGTTCTCAGTTTCAGCAAGATCTGGGCTCAGACATGGGCACCTTGGAGGTGAGATGCTTTCTCTCATTTTGCAAGCTGTTTGATTGTTGTGCATCACTGAGAGGGAAAAAGAGACAAAGATATAGATGATGCCAGCAATAATTTAAGATATCAATATAGTAATGTGTTTGAAGAATCTACTTGCACTTGCAAAAGCTACTCTTTCTCTCTTTTTGCTATCAGAAAAAGTCCTTCCAGAAGAACTGCCTCATATTGAGAACATTTAAGGCCAACATACTCGAGTATGTGAATGCAAACACTTCTAGCAACTCAAACTTGATTCATGGGTCGTTGCATTACGTGTCAAAGTGCAATTCGTAAAGCAATTTGCATGCAAGGCATTGCATTCTCAGTTAGTTAATTTAGTTCGATTGTTCTTGCAATGCACTGAAACATCCATGTATGGGTTTGCATGCTTCAAATATTTATATAATAATAATAATTATTAAGAATGGTCCTCAAAAGGCCAGCTTATTTGTACTGCATGCAACTTCCTACTTCACCACCAAACATGCTGCCCAAATATAATAAAAAAAAAAGTAAGTAAAGATGAGTTATTATTACATTATATTAAATTATATCAATATATTATTAATATTAATCAATTAAAAAATGACCAAACAAACAACTGCAAAATGATTTGATTTTTGTTACCTGCATACAAACATTTTAAAATGAAGTGTCATTTATGCACCACTATTTTTATTATTATTTATATTTTATAGCACCTTTCCACAGCTCAAATTTGCTTTAAAATAAAATTAAATAAAATTAAATTAAATTTACCCACCAAAACTAACTGGAAAAATAATTAGATTTTTATGTTGCCTCCATACCACAACTTAAAAATTAAGTGTGTCAGTTATGCAGCACTAATAATAATAATAATAATAATAATAATAATTTCAATTTATACAGTACCTTTCCATAGTTCAAGCCTGATTTAAAATAAAATAAAACAAAATAGATTTTTATATTCCCATGATGGCGTTGTTGGTACCACTCCTTGATGATGGTAATACTACTAATAATAAATAATAATGGTAATAATATTAAATTAGAAAATGTTCCAAATGTGTCCGGCTACGCTGATAACCATCTTAAACGACTGAAATGAAACATATGTGAGTCTCAGTCTTGCCAAATGACGAAATGCTCTACTTTTGATTTGTGGTCAGATGCGTAGACATTTCTCAAGATCGTTCCCTCAGATCCAAATTTAAAACAAGAACAATGTGTCCATTTACAATCAGCGGCACCAGAGGGGAAGAACGCAGACAGCAGGGCTGAAACAATGCAGCGCTCAAGCCTGTGCAAGTCATCAATGCATCTCTGTAGCGCAACAACCCTGCTTTTGTGCTGCTTCGCTCAATCAAAACTAGATTTGTCTCAATCGGAAGTCAATTAGTGACATTGGGACTCACAGACTTATCTGAAGCAGGAACCCAAGCCGTATCTATAGCAACTAGAACCAGTGTTGTTTTAGTGACAGACTATCATAGTTTTTATTAAATATCTTCTGTAGAGCTGCTTTATTGCTGAATCGGATTTGTTTCATAACTCATGAACTCTGTGACATCGACATGAACTGAATTGAATCAACATTGCATTTTCTATTGCCTTCTGTAGAGCTTAAGGATGAAATTGTATTTGTTTCATAATTAAAAAACGTTGCAACATTAATACTGTTATTTATTGTTTATTATCACTATTTGAAACAATCTGCATTGTATATAAGGCTAAAACTTACTTGACTTAACATTTTGAATTAGCTTTTATTTTTTACATTTTTCGTTTTCATTAAAATTTTTAAAGTTTTCATAGTTTTGTTGTTTTTGTAATTTTTAGTAGTTTTCTTTTAACTATATAGCTTTTATTAATTTTATTTCGGTATTAGTTTCAGTTATTTTAGTCCATCAAGTTAAACTAAATTTAAATGAGAAATGCTGACTTGGCAACTAGCTGAAATAAAAGAAAAAAAAAATCAAGTTTTTATACTTTATTTCAGTTAAAGATTATTTTTCATTTTAAGTAATGAGATACATTGAGATACAATTAAAGATTTTATTAATATTTTGAATAATTTTTTTTTTTTTTTTACAATTTCATTTTAATTTTAAAGTTTCATTTTCATAAAAAGTTAATTTTGTTGTGTTTTTATCATTTTGAGTATTTTTTTTTTTTTATATATCTACATAGTTTTTATTTATTTTTATTTCACTTTCAGTTTTAGTTATTTTAGTAGATCAAGTTACACCAAATTAAAACGAGAAATGTTGTCTTGGCAACTAGCTGAAATAAAAAAGTTTTGATTTGATGTTTTTTATTTCATTTTTATTTCAAGTAACAATTAAATTTGTTTGTGGTTTTAGCAGTTTTCTTTGAGATACTATTATAATTTTCATTATAATATTTATTTTACTTAGAATTTTTTTATTATTTTTCGTTTTAGTTTTATTATTTTAGTACATTTTTGCTTATTTTAGTAAATCAAGTTACACTAAATTAAAATGCGAAATGTTGCCTTGGCATCAACTAGCTGAAATAAAAAAAGTTAAAGGTTTTTTTAATATTTGATCAAGTAACGAAAATGTGTGTGTGTGTGTGTGTGTGGTTTGAGTTTTCTTTGCGATAACAGTATAATTGTATTCATATTTTGAATTTGTTTTTATTTTATTTTTCATTTTAATTTTAGTTGAGTTTGATAGCTTTGTAGTTTTTAGCAATTTTATTTCAGTTTTATTATTTTAGTACATTTTTAGTTATTTTAGTACATCAAGTTACATTACATTAAAACTATAAATGTTGCCTTGGCAACTAGCTGAATTTTACTTCAGTTAACCTTTATTTTTTCAAGTAACTTTTTTTTTAGCGGTTTTCTTTGAGACACTATTATAGTTTTTATTAATATTCTTAATCAGTTTTTATTTTTCTATTTTAATTTGAAAGTTTCAGTAGTTTTGCTGTGTGTTTTTAGCATTTCTAGTTTTAGTTAACTATAATAACCATCTAGAGACTTTACCAGTCATCAAACACCGAACAATGTGTTACAAGCCTCTCAGAGTCTCTACATTCATCTCAATATAAAGTGCGCCTCGCGTGGCAATCAAGCCAGAAGGAAATGGACCGGCATGAGGTCACGTTCTGTGGTCATCTATGTAATGCTGGAGCCCAGTTTCCCACTTACTGTACTCTGGACTTTTTACCCCCTTCAATTACTGTGATGGAGGGTTTAACCTTTGACCCATGATGTAATCGCCGTCGGTCAGGTGGCTGCAGCCTTCATTACGCAGGAGGTTTATGAGAAACATCAAGAGGTTTGGTTAAACACAAGGACGCAGCTGTGGAAGCGCAAACACTGTGAGTCTTTCTCGCATTTCTCACCCAACAGGTATGACGTTTAATCGCAGGAAATGTGTACAGCCTGTAAGCTGTAATCAGAGAGCCAGACGCACCAGACCGTCTGCTGATGTAACGAGCGAATTCTTGCCTTTCTCTAGATGCGCAAATTGGTACTGAGCCACGCTGGCGAAAAGCATCCTCAGCAATCCTATTAGTCTGTGTCTGTATGTTTTTATAGGTGTTCGATAAGAGATAAAAATCAAGAATATCTTAACTGCATGTACTGTTGCAAAATGTAAACTATATTATCTGCTAAATGCAACTTTAAGGCATGAAGATATTATAAACATTAACATCAAAATGTTCTTTAAAGCTGCTTAGAAGCAATGTGTATTGTGAAAAACATATGAATGAATTTTACTTGACTTTGTCGAGTCGGCGTTTGTGTTCATCCTCTCTCAGATGGAAGAAGTTTTTGTTGTTCGGTTCCAGGCATCGTCTGAATCTCCGAAACATCATCTAGGGCAATAAAAAGATAACAGATGAGCACATGTTTGTGCACACACATCACACCGGTGTGTGTCTGTAGAAAGTGTGTGTTGGATCAGATGGAACTTGAAGTTTATTTAGCAAATGCACAACAATACAGCATGCAGCAATACTTCCTGCCAATGAAATGCTGTTTATGCAAATTTTAAATAAAATAAAAATAATTTAAAAAAACTAAATAAATAAAATAAAAAATATTACCCAACAAACATAAATGTAAAAAAAAAAAAATTTGAATTATATGTTGCCACCATGTTGATGCTGCTACTTGCCATGCCATTGCTATATGGTTGAAATAAAATAAAATAATAAAATAAAATAAAATAAAATAAAATAAAATAAAATACAAAAAAAATACAAATAAAATAAAATAAAATAAAATAAAAAATAGTTACCCAGTAAAAATTAATGCAAAAAAATAATTGCAATTATATATTGCCATCATGGTGATGCTGCTACTGGCCAGGCCATTATGGTTGCTGTAAATAAATAAAAATAATATAAAATAAATAAAACAAAGTACAAATTTAATTAAATACTCACCAAAAATAAATGCAAAAATATGCTATATGGTTGCTTTAAAATAAAATAAAAAAGACAATAAAAATAAAATAAATTAGGTGTTCTGTGGGTTTGTAGCATGTTGCTAGGGTATTCTTGTTGCTGCACATGTTGCGTCTGCAAATAAAATAGATAAGATAGAATTACAAAACATTTAAGGCAAGAACCCCAAACAAATCACTAACCGTAAGCATTAATAATTTTCTTACAATTTATGATTTACAAATTGGTGCACAATAAAATATGTGGGAAAATTTCATAGGCACTGTTTTGGATCCTCAAAGAATCTTTCATTGAACCATTTTTGCCTTAGCATTAGGAACATTTTTATAATCTGAAGAACCTTTTGTGGAATGGATGTTAAAGATTCTTCATGGAACAAGAGATGCCGACAAAGAATTGTATTTTTAAGTGAGTATAAAAGTCACTTGAAGAGGCAAAGGCTTGTGGACGAGATCCTACATGTTGTGAAAGCGAATGTGTTTCTTCATACAGTAATGGACAAATGTTTGTGAGCCTTGAGACAGGCGGCGAGAAGACAGCTGGAGAACACACGGCTCAGCATCTGCTATCCTGCTGAAGTCAGTGTGCCAGGTGCTCGAATCAGCTGTTTAAATCCCACATTCATCTGCACAGCTGATGGCTCGCTTTTCAGCATCACACTTGCAGCTCAATTTAAATGTGCACCAAATATTTTTTATGTTTTTCACTGGTATACAGCAATGGTCTATAGTTATAGACTTCAAACTATTTATAAAATGTTATATAAACTTAAATGAAATGAATATTAAATAAATAAAAATATTAAATAAATAAACTTTATACTATTTATAAAATTGAAAACCAATTTATAATTAGTTTTCAGCTGGTTTTGCTTCAGGACAGATTTTATATTGAGATCAAGTAGCATCACAGTATCTATAGGGCTGGGTTTTGACACAAATTTCACGATTCGATTCTCATTCACAAGCTTGCGATTCGATTACCAATTCGATTCAATGTCGATTATTTTGGATACAGTACATGCCAAATGTTCTCAAGGAAAAACAAAATCTCTCAACTAATGCTGTAAAATATACATGAGAGTCAGTTGGTACATTACTTGTACAAAAGTAGCAAAACTTCTTTAAAATCAAACATAAAACTGAACAGAAGCCCAACAGTATGCAAACATATTAACATGACAGAGGCAGAAATGGTAAATCGACAATTTTGTAAAAGCAGAAGTGTGATTTACCAGCCAAACACAATGAACAAACCAGGGTACTTTTCATTAACTAAAACTAAAACTATTAAAATATTTTTGTTCATTAAAATAAAGCTGAAATAAAATAAATATTTAATTAAAAAAAATTTAAAATGAGAATTCTACCTTGGCAACAATCTGAAATAAGTTTATGTTGAAGCACTAAATTTACTAAATGAAAATAAATAAAAACTAAAACCCGAAATAAACCTGAATATTAATTACAAACGAATAATATTAACTAATATTTAAAAAAATGTATATAAAAATGACAAAAGCACATACAAATGACTAAAAATTAAAAATAAAAGTTAATTCTAAATATTAATAAATTATAATGTTATATAAATAATACTAAAATAACACTGGAACAAACACTAAGCAAAATATTGTATTAGTATTATCCTTCAGCGTCAACAACAAAATGTATGGTATTTTGCTACTGTATATGATTTATTATGGTTATCAGCATTTTATTATTTTCATTTACCACTGCTGTCTGTGACCGAACAGAACAGACTTGTGAAATGATTTTTGGTCGTGTGACACCAAGTGAAAACCACTGATATATTAATTATTTTCAACTCTTATGAGTGGACGCAATATTAAACAGTACTATTAATCTCATTATGTAGCTGATAAAACTTTAAATCGAACAAATTAGTGTTTTCAAAGCAGAACTTTGTACTGCATTTACTTTAAAGAAACGAGAGAATTCAATGGTAACTTGTCAGAAAAAGGCTGTGGCTAGCAGTCATTCATTTGATTAGGGGTCGCCACAGCGTGCGTCCCTTTTGAATTACTGTGTGCAGAAAAGGAGCACTGTTCATATAATTACCCCTAAATTAGGGGAAAATGCATGATCCAATCATCTAGCCCTGGAATTAGATCATGTGTCATGACATCATCCTTCTGTCTTTCTCCGTCTGACCGAAGCTTGTTAAGGAAAGTTAGATTAATATATTAAATCATGTCATACTTGTGTTGTACGGGTCTTTAAGGCTTCTCTTCCACCAACACTGAACGAAAAATATGTTCCTCTTAACTCATATCATAAGCCATTTAGCATTACTATTAATATTATTAAAATGACCCACACAGTGACTCACTTTTAAACTGAAACAATCACCAAGCAGACGTTTGAGAAATACAGAAACACTGCATTAAAGCCACATGTCAAAATGAGTTTGAATGCTAGAGGCCATGACGAATAAAACCATCTGAAAAGAGTAGTGCACTTCCAGAATAAAAGTTTCCTGATCATTTACTCACCGCCATGTCATCCAAGATTAGGGCTGCACGATTAATCGAATGCGATTGTCATGCGCATCTTGATAGTAATGTCGGTTCTGTAATCAGCAGTAAATCATCACGTGCTTTCAGATGGAGCAGCATTTACTACATAGCTGTAGTTCACTGACAAGCTATGCAAAAAAATCGCAGACGATTTTATTGCGCGATTATGAAATCGAAGAAATCGTTCGCGATAATGACAGCTGTTTGCATAGCTTCTCAGTGAACTACGGCTCTGTGAAGTAAATGCTGCTCCATCTGAAAGCATGTGAAAATACCACATTTAATAACATATTTTTACTCCAAACTCACTTCATAACGTCAGTCGAGTGTTTGAAATAAATCCGTCTGTGAGATGATGTGGCTTCTTACACAGAACATATTTCATAGTATTCCAAGAAGTGATAAAGGCTATGTCGATTAGCATTGCATTATTATATACTTTATTATAATAAAAATTATAATAAGACGAACTCAGATAAACCATACATTGTCGTAGTCGTGTGTTTATTAGTCACATTGAATTAATGAAAGCAGTTAAATCTTCTGTTTATCTAGCTACCACTATTGGCATTTCCTGGGTTTCTTCTGCGGGGCGTATTTGGAGTTTCAGCACGAGAGCGCCCTCTGGCCTTCGGATGGATATTTACTGCTGATCACAGAACCGTGCTGCACTGAAAGATACGCATGACAATCACAGCTGCTGTCGAATCGCGATCTCAATTCCAATTCGATTTATCGTGCAGCCCTATCCAAGATGTTCATGTCTTTCTGTCTTCAGTCGAAAAGAAATGAAGGTTTTTGAGGAAAACATGCCAGGGTTTTTCTCCATATAATGGACTTCAATGGGGACCAACGGGTTGAAGGTCCAAATTGCAGTTTCAGTGCAGCTTCAAAGGGCTCTAGCCGAGGAATAAGGGTCTTATCTAACCAAACCATCCGTCATTTTCTTTAAAAAATTACAATTTATATACTTTTTAACCACAAATGCTCGTCTTGCACTAGCTCCACGTTGGAAAGGTCACGCGCGGTTAGCTCTTCGGTTCAGAAAGAGTCGAGCAGGGTGGAAAAACTCCATCTCCTTTTCTCCTCCAACTTCAAAATCGTCCCACATTGCTGTTTTAGCTTTTTTTTGTAAAGGCCGTTTGACTTTCTTTGCACGTTCGCTTCCGTAACGCGTGATCTTCCCAACGTGACTATGTAATGCGTGACGTCCAGCTAGTGCAAGATGAGCATTTGTGGTTAAAAAGTACATCAATTTTTTTTTATTTTTTTTTTAGAAAATGATGGATGGTTTGGCTAGATAAGACCCTTATTCCTCGGCTAGAGCCCTCTGAAGCTGCACTGAAACTGCAATTTGGACCTTCAACCCGTTGGTCCCCATTGAAGTCCATTATATGGAGAAAAATCCTGGAATGATTTCCTCAAAAACCTTCATTTCTTTGCGACTGAAGACAGAAAGACATGAACATCTTGGATGACATGGGGGAGTAAATTATCAGGAAATTTTTATTCTAGAAGTGAACTAATCCTTGAAGTCCCGGAAACAACATTACAGCAGTGCAATGGCAGCCCAGTTGTTGTCTTTGTTGTTCATTGGATTGTATGTTATTTAGGGTGTGGAGATTCACAGAAACAATTGTTCTGATTCTGGAAATGTGCAGCTAAATTTAGTTTGAAGCTAAGATGACACAAAAGTGATGTGCTAAATGTTGGGATGGACAACTGAAGGCCTCTACTGGTAAGCCAGGTAGAGTCAATAAATGCAGCAACTGCAGAAACAAATATTACATGTCTGCACACTCTATATCACTTTTATTCAGCAAATGCAACATTTCATTCTCGGAAATGCTACTCTGCAAGATGTAAGTGCTGACAACAACAATCTGAATGCAATGCACAGCTCTAGTCTGTTAGCATTGGGGAAGCATATCACAAATACGCTAAATGAATCAACTATTGCAGTTTTAACAATGTAAAAGTATAAGTGCATGAACAAATAAACACATTGAATATGATCTGAACTTGGGTAAACTTGCCTCTGCAGTCCTACATGGATTATCCTTGTCCTCTTTAGGGTCAAAGTTCAATTAGTTCTCTTCGCAGGTGCTTTCAGTGGTTCACCAGAAAGAACCGGCTCTTACGAGTCATACGTTCGGGAATCGGACTTCATCGGCTGAGTCATATATTTGGATTCACTAAAAAGAACCTGCTCATAAGAGTCATGCGTTTTTTTTTTATTAAACAGTACTAATATTAAAACATTAAAGCAGTACAATTACAATTATAAACAAAGACAAAATAAAATAATATAAAAAATACAAGAATATACGCACAGACTTGTTGCCTGGGTAACAAATAAAAAAAACAAAGTAATAAAATTGCATCATAAGAAGACTCAAATTATTAATATAAAGATACAGTTTTCATAGCTTTCAAATTAACAAAGCTTTGGATAGTTTCCACATACTTATCTAAGTCCACTTTGAAGAAAAGAGAAGTTTAGAGCCAGTAAACTTTTGTTTATGAATATGAAATGTATCTAACAGCGGGAATCGGACTTCAT